CCGGGCAACACAGTGAGACTCTGTCTCAAAAAAACAAAGAGGTTAAGTAAGATAACAATAGAGAGGTGGCTATCAATTTTAAAGGTCACTTGTGATCTTGACAAGAGCAGTCTGAAGGCTGTGGTGGGGATGAAAGCATGATGGAGAGAATGAAACATAAGAAAATTGAGAAAGCATCTAGATAAAGCTTTGGAAAATGTTTGTAATAAAGGGAAGGAAATAGGGTGGCAGCTGGAAGGATTCATGGAGTTTGAGACTGGATCTAATAAACCATGGTATCAAAAAACTGGTTTTAAGATAGAAGATATTTTTATCCCCATTCGCAGATGAAAAAGTGGGGTGGGGAACCTGTGGCCTTGGGGCCATGTGGCTTTCTGGAACCCTGTATGTGGCCTTTTGGCTGAATTCAAATTTTACAGAGCAAATCCTTTTAATAAATCCCAGACTCTAGATTCAAATTTAGGTCTGACTTCAAAGCTTACGATCTTTCCACATCTCCCTGCTCCTTCTGATTTGTAGGACAATTAAGAAGTAGACAACAAAAAGTCACGTTTTGTAGTGAAATTGTATAAACAGAATAGCACTAATATCTTCATATATTGATAACAGTGAGGAGAAACACGGTAAAACAAGCAGGTTGTAATAGTTTGGCTTTGTGTGCTAGGAACTACCTAACTCCATGTTTTATCCCGATAGAATGGTGCACACAAAATTCACTCAAGGAGGCTTAAAACTACAAAGAGTGGAAATTTATATGACCTCTTCTAATGGATGCTCTTACCCACCTGGCTTTTTTTGAAGTCAAAGCTTTATTTTCATTTAGCTTTCTTCCACCACTTTCTGTATCAAAATAAAATATATTTTAGTGGGTTATTTCTACGCATTGAAAATTCAACATTTAACAATTACTTAAAAAGTTCATTCTTTGACCTTCTCCTAATAAAGTAGCCTATATCTAAATTTTTAAAAACCTAATTTAATAGCCAGGTTCTTAAGACTCTACTTAAAAAGAAAACATTAGGGAAACAATAAAAATTTGTATAAAATACAAACCTTTGATTTCTCAGCCTCAAGAGTAGTACTTTAGGAATGGGTCTACATTTACTATATGTATTGTAAAATCCATAAGCCACTACTTTGATGTCATAGACTTGAATAGAGTGGGAAGTGTTTCTTTTCCTTCTAAAACATATTTTACTATATGTATTTAATGATAATGAAAGCAAACATTCCACTTTAAGTATTTAACGATAATGAAGGTGAAAACAGTTTAAATGATTTGTTCAAGAATATGAAAATCAGGTGAGGAGAGGGGAAGTTAAATAACTCTAATTAAGCTGAATCAAATCAAATACTGTGATATAGTCATCACTGAAAATCATTTACTACTTCTGCTATCTCCTGCCTACCATATTAGGAACCTGTACATGTAACTGAGAGAACTAAATAGAAGATATTAAATCATTGGTGGACACAATAATCTTTAATGTTTTAATAGATGAAATACTCTGAACACATTATGTTCCATTTTACAAATAATATAAAAGTGAGAACATTATTCAAAGAAAGTCCTTGATTTAATTTCAATTTTCTAAAAGAAAAAATACCTGTGGTATTCCTAGCACCATCTTTCCATGTATCTGGAGTGATAACAGTACCAAGTTTCTTTTCACCTGTTATAACAAGATAGTAAAGGAGGAATTAAATTTGTTATCTAATAAATATGCTACATTGTACCTAAGGTTCACAACAGTATCAACAGTCATACTACAGTAGGAGCCTGTTAATGCTGGGATAGGGGCCAGTGAACTGAGACTCAAGATATTAACTGTGGCCAATGAATAACTGTGGCCAAGTAATATCTGAAGAATAATAAGATGGCTTATAATGGGCTTTCACTGTTTATACTTTAAACAAATCAGATAAGTCTACTCATTCCATAAATATTTACTAAGTATCTATTATGTGTAAACCACTATACAAAGTGCTGAGAAAAATAAAGCAATTAAAATCAGACAAAACCCTAGATTTCAAGGAGATTACAGTACACTAATTTCTCTAACAGCAGTCTTTAACCTGAGTTCCAAAGGTAGAAGACCTTAGGAGATATGTGAACCAGGGGGAGTTGTACACAAACCTTTTGTTTGTCCATTTTTTTTTCTGGTAAGAGTCTATAGCTTCTATCAGATTCTCAAAGGGATCAGAGACTTCCCCCATCCCCTCGAAAAAAGGTAAGACCCATTCAACCAAAATATAAGCTAGAAAATAAAAGGTATAACAATTGAGAACTAGAATAAATTTAGAGCTAAAGTACTAGGAGAAATTCCATGCAGAAAGACAACCCTGGCTAGGGAAATCCAGGATAGTTTTGTGGAGAAGACAATAGAGAGGATATGAATATGTGTCATAGGACTGTGAAGAAAGTGGAGGAAAAGAGGATGAGGGCAAAATAAATAACGGATACATCCTGAGGAAAGGCATGGAAAGCTCAGAGTACACATGGGCACAAAGAGTAGTTTGGTTTGGTCTGATCTAAGTGTGAAGAGGGTAAGGGTCAGTGAAGATGAAGTTATAAAGATAAGCTGGGGCTTTATTGTGGAGGATCTTGAATGCCAGACTCCAAATACATAAACCGCAAATTATTCACCGCATATTGAAAAAGTATTACAGGTTTTAAATTAGGGAAATAATAAATTGTACTTATGTTGGGGTTCAATTCAAACATCTGCTAGGCTTACTCTAAGCCATATCCCGGCATAATGACGAGTAAGAATGGGTAAGACGAGGTCCCTACCCTTTGGTTCTAGTGCCCAGCATTTGGCAGAAGTATAATACTCGTTGGATTAACGAAAAGGAAAGGTTAGAAAATTCAAGAGAAAAAGGTGGAGTCAGTTTAATTGAGCATTTTTTATGGAAGGAGGACTGATGAGCTCTGGGGCTGGGGGGAGGCAACAGAAATAGGCAAAGAGGTGCAGAACTGAGACCGTTCTAAATACAAAATACACAGAACTATAAGGTCGTTGGGGAGGAACATGGATAGTTATGGGGACGGTAGGAGGACAGAAGCTAGAATCAGAGACCTGTGGGCGAAGAAAAAACAAAGAAAAGGCAAAGTTCCTGGCAGAGTCCAGTTAGGTGCTCCCAGCCTCCTCCCGCAGAAGCGGCCCCTCAACTCACACTTTTCGCACACCATCCTTCCGTCGTCTCTCCCCTAGAAGCCAAAGCAACAACAGCTGGAAAACATCAACACTACAGCCTTCAAGGATTCCTCTTCCGGGTTACGTTAATCCACTTCCGGCCCCGAAGCCCTCCGCACCGCCTATCACTCACCTGGAAGGCCGCGGGAGGAATGAATGTGACGAGTAGGCGGGACTGTTCCATTAGCCCGCCCCTCCCTCTCTGCAATTGGCTTTGCGGCCCTGCGTCTCCGCCCTACAGACCTGCGCCTGCGCGAGGGACAGGGCGGTCCGTCGTACCTGATGGTAGGAGGCAGTAGTTCCCCCTTCTCTTCCGCGGGCGGGAGAGTTAGGTAAGCCCCGCTGGACGCCCCCGGCACGCTCGCTTTCCGGGAGTGCAAGCCACCCCCGCCAACTGCTGAAGTGGCCGTGAGTTGGCGCCCCCGGCCCGCCCGCGCCCGCCGGCCGCTTGAGCGCCACTCTTCTGGCGTGCCCTGGGGGCTGATGCGATGGATAGATCCTCTTTCGGCTCTGAGTTTGGGTTTCTGTCCTCAGTTTTCCCTTGTCTCCAACTCCTGTGCTCTTTGGTTATACCTCTCAGCGCGTTCCTCGCTGCCCACACTCCCGCCGGCTGAGGCTTGGGCAGAGTTCCTGGCGTCCCAGTTTCGTGGGGCGGGGGGGCTGTAGATGGAGGTCCGGAGGTTCCCGTGGAGGCTCCTGTGGGAGTGGCTCAGAAGCGCCTTCTCTGCGCGCAGTGCCTGTCATACCGACCGCGCGCATGATGGACGTTCTCAAGGGCATGGCGGGATCTGACTTAGTGCTGGTTGCTCAGGAGGGGCAAACACTTTCCCTACTCTGGGTCCTTCATTCATTCAGCAAACATTTGAATTTGGGTACTTCCCACTGTATCAGATCCGAATCTGCTGATGGCAGCTGGGATTCTGAGAGTGGCCCAGAAAAATGTCCGTGTTGAGAGAATGGATTCCTGATCCCTTTGCCCGCCTGCAATCAGCTGGGGATAGAATCTGTGGGAAACTTTTTTATTATTATTATTTTTTCTTTTTTACTCCCCCTCCTAACCCCACTCTGTGGGAAACTTTTTTCTTTGTCCCCTTTTGCCACTCTCTCTTTGCCTGATCCTTGGTGTATATCTTCATATCAAAGAGGCTAGCCTTTAAAATGGCTTTATCGGTTGGGACCTTGGGTGTGTCTCTCTAGCCTGCTTATCCAGTTTCCTTATAAGTAAAATATTTGCTTTTGAGAATTATTGTGTGAATTAAATGAGAGCTATTAGGATAAGGCCCAGATCCACTCTAATGCTTTTCACACTAGTGGGTGCCCCCCCATCCTCGTGTGTGTATTTGTTTATGTTTTTTCTTTGATGTTTCTATTTTCTGGAATATTCGCCAGTGCAATATATTGACTATTACTTTAATAAAGTTCTTACTTTAGTCAATACAATATATAAACTCTCAGGTGATTTAAATACATATATGTATTTAGAGACAGTAATTTTTTTTTCCTTTTTCCATTCATGTTCTACTTTTGATTGGAATTTAGCACCTGTACCTTCTCATTTTGATATTTCTGGGGCTTTGGGATCCGTTAGTTTACCGTGATGCTCTTTGAACTTTCTTGATTGCACTGGCCACCATTTGAGTATTTGAGTGTGCCCTTGGTGTCACTTGGCATTTCCTAGAAGATGTGAACTACTGTAATATTAGACAAGGTTAAAAAATGCCAACAATTTAGCCAAAGTGTATCATGGGGTCTAGAATGCATAGATTATATTTCACACAGAGGTGGATCCTTTAATTCATGAAGTTAGTTTCATCTCTGTGATTTTGGCAAAAAAAGTAAAGTGAATTGTTTAATTGGCCCTAACACACGATCCTTTTGCAGAAACCAGTTACAATATTTAAGAAATTTGTAAATTTGTCCTTTTTAGGCTCTGAGAGATGTTTGTACCATATTAAGAAAATCGTAAGTTAGAATAGAATGTTAAGTCTACATGTGCGTGTGCACATGTGCATCTTCCTGTGTTTTGAAACAAATACATTGCCCATAGAAAATTGACTTTAGTTCATAGCTTATTTTTAGGGGTTGAAGCATTTAGAACAAAGGAAAAAGTCATTATTACATATACTCTTCTTAATTTGTTTTTCGTTAGATAGCCACCCAAGAAAACGCCATGAAAGATACTGATATCAAGAGACTACTGTATACCCATCTTTTGTGTGTATTTTCAATTATACTAAGCGTCTTCATTCCATCATTCTTCTTGGAGAACTTCTCGATATTGGAAACACATTTGACATGGTTGTGCATCTGTTCTGGTTTTGTGACTGCTGTCAATCTAGTGTTATATTTCGTAGTGAAACCAAATGCATCCTCTAAAAGAAGTTCATTATCACACAAGGTAAGGTTTACTTCTTAATAACTGATTTTTAGATGGGACTAGTGTTTGTTTTAATGGAAGAATAAAGTATTAGTCAAGTCCTCACTGGATTATTTGCAGTAAGTAAAGGGAACCTGGTGTTTTTTTCCCAAATCAGTAGCCTGTTATACTTGCTGGAAGCCTGCCCACAATGATTGATAGATCCTTGCCATGCTTTAATTGTGGAATTATGACTCGTTCAATGGTTACTATGGCATTGTGAGTTGGTGTAATTATTGTTTTATGTCACCAATGAAAATAAATACATGTGAAAAAAGAAAGAAAATATGAGCAATTTATATTCTCAAAAAAAAAAATAAATACATGTGGCAGTCTGTTTTTAAACCTTATTCTATAAGACATTATAGTTTATTTTCATTTGGTTTTGTACTTCTGAAAGACACTTAATGGGTTTTTCAGAAATTGCAAAATAAGTCTCTGTGGTAACTTTCGTTTTGAACATGACCTTCCTTGACTAAACAAAGTTTTCAGATATTAGAATCAATGGAATATTCACTGCATTGTAACATTTGGCTATTACTTTAATAAAGTCCTCACTTAACATTATTTCATACTATGTATAAGCTCTCTGTTAGTTAATTAAAAAACACCTTTACTGCCTTATGATTTAAAGAATTCAATGTGCGTTTTATAATTATATCTTAAGCTCCAAATCAAGAAGGTCCCATGTGCTAATTTGTAGGCATTCAGGTCTTTTTCCATATGGATCTTATGGTAATATGAATGTGATCTGGGGGATTATTTAGTATTTTGCTTTTTTGCTGCAATTTTCCCAGGAGTTTTGTTTTAAAATGAAAAAATTGTAGACATCATTTTTTGCAGATATTTCATATATCATCGCATAATAAGGACTACATATTTTTGTATCCTAGCTCTCTGTTATCAACAAATATTTCATAAATATGGATTAACAGCCTAGCTCAGTATAGAATCAAAAACTTGTTGATTCTATTGTTGGGTGGGTGGGTGGAATGGGGGGTTGATATTTGCCTTTTAGGCTTTTTACAGTCTATATTAAGGGCTGTGTATGTGACTGGGCAGAGGATATATGTTCTGACTTGAGGGTACTCAAATCCAAAGAACATTCAATACTTTTTTTTTTTTGAGACAGTCTCGCTCTGTCACCCAGGCTGGAGTGTAGTGGCCTCATCACAGCTCACTGCAACCTAGAACTCCTGGGCTCAAGCCATCTTCCGGCCTCAGCCTCCTGAGTAGCTGGGACTATAGGCGTGCGCCGCCACACGCCCAGCTAATTTTTCTAGTTTTTGTAGAGATGAGGTCTCGCTCTTTCTCAGGCTGGTCTTGAAATCCTGGCCTCAAACAATCATTCCACCTCAGCCTCGCATAGTGCTAGGATTACAGGTGCAAGCCACCACATACAGCCATCTATATTTTCACACATTATGGGAACAAGTTGTATTTGTAGATAAAATGGAAGAATTTATCTATCATCCTTTAGGCATTCTCTTGAATCTCCAAATTATTCATTTCTCTTCTAGGTAACCAGATTTTTGAAATGCTGTATCTACTTTCTTATGTCTTGTTTCACCTTTCATATAATTTTTGTTCTATATGGAGCGCCACTAATAGAGTAAGTTTGACATTTTTACCTGAAATTTATATTTGAAAACACTCATTTACTAAACAGTATTCTAACTCTTGGCAATTAGAAAAACCTGTGGTGTGCTTAATTAATGGATTAAGTAAGGATACCAACATCATTGCCCTTCTTTAGCAGTGCTATTCTTTTAAAATACAGTGGAATAACAATTCATTAAATGTTTTTATTATCTGGCCTTCTATTAATTGCATGTTGGGAGAAGGGAGGGGAGATGAGAAACTATACTATACCAATAAATGTGTGGCCCTTAGAACCTCTAAGAGAACTTACTATAATGATACGTATGTTAGTTATAATTAACATATGAGATCTTAGTAAATGTGATTCTGAAGTACTTGAAAAGTTTGTTTTCTTAATGAAGGTCTATAGATTCCTTTATTCAAATAATAAGCCAATGTTTACATTTTAAAGGTAAAATTTAACTCAATACTTTTTAAAAATGAACCAATTTTAAGTTATTTGAAACCAAATTCATGAATATTTCTTATACAATGTTTATTATAGCTTGGGAAATGTCAGTATAGCAATAAT